ATGTGGTGAATGTAATAAAGGATTTGCAGATAAATCGCATTTGAATAGACACGTTCGTGTTCATTCGGGTGAAAGACCATACACATGTGGTGAATGTGATAAAGGATTTGCAGATAAATCAAATTTGAATAGACACGTCCGTGTTCATACAGGTGAAAGACCATACAAATGCAAAATATGCGGAATGAGGTTCACGCAGCATTCCTCCTTGCGTAGACACATGCGTTGCCATACTCGAGATGAATCAATTATATGCCATGTATGTGGAACTCGTTTTTCAACAAATTTTGATAGGGTTTTTCACGAACATTCGCATAATAGTGAAAATCATTAGTTTGAAGTGTATGAACCAGGATGAGCTGTAAAAGTTATTGTTTAGTATGGCGCCAACAGCCCCATTCAGGAGAAATGACAATCAAAAACGAAAATGGCAGAAGCAAAATCTTTCAAAAACGACATTTGGCTGCCCACATATGAACACATAAAGAAGAACGGTCGCTTCGAGTTAATGAAAATGGAACGTGATTTTAGAGTAAATATCATTAGTATCTTCTTTATGGCTCACATCCAGTTGTGAAAATATTTTCGATGCATATCTGAACAAGGGATCATAATTGCACACATTCATTTTGCAGAAATACATCCCATTTGTAAGCTATGCTTGAACAAAATTTGACGCAACACCTACGATTTTCACATTTCTGTTATTTTAATGATAACTAAAGGTTAATCATGCATATTTACCACTGAATCATTTCTTACAACAAGACATTACTTCAATCAATCAAATGTCGAAAAAATGTCGGAAGGAATAAGTACAAACTCTAGGATGCTAACCTCATAAAGAACATGAATAGTCAAAGATCAAGTGTCTTTGCTGTTTTAAAATGATATGTTAGATAATCCGTATTTTGTGTTGAAGTTGTCAGTATTTGCATGGTTTTAAAATAGAGCTTTAGGTCACTTTGTGCTAGTTTGCCGAAATCATTCGATTTGATCTAGATGAGCCATGTCCGATTTTTGACTGATTGCCATTTTGAATTGAAACCCATTCGGACCTGCCTATCATTTGCAGTGATCGATAAAAGAAATTGGTTTAATAAAGCGTGGGGTTTTTCAAAAAAACTGAATTTTTTTAAATCAGAATAGGTTAAATGATGGTCTTCGTAATTGTTTTAGCTTAAAATCCCAAGCAAACACAGTAAAAGAGCTTTCAAAATAAGCTTAATATAATGTTTTACTAGTTACTATTTAATGTATAAGGATACTGATCTGGCTTTACTTATTTGAATACTTGATTGGGAAGAATTTCCAATGAAAACGAATTTAAGTCCATACAATATTATTTGTCTGTTGTTCAAAATGATAGTAATAGCAATATCAAAATATTATTAAAAACCATTGTAATGTAGATATGTAGAACATAAACGGAAAATCGAAACTGAGATGCTTATAGCACTGTTCAGCAATGCATGACATGCAAAACGTAGAACATAATGTGCCATATGCCATTCTTGGATAATTACTTCATTAGTATTGATGCCGATTTGCCTAGAATTGATACATCCGTTAGCCTATATCATATATCACATATCAGTCGATAATAAAGATTGTTTTTTATCATATTGCAAGAGTTTGAATTGATTGGGAGAGGCTTTACGAGAATGAGACAAATATTGAAGCTTTCCTACATGCAAATGAAACATTTTCCATAGGTTTCAGGTTTGATTGTATAAGTGTGATGAAATTTGAGGCACATAACTATGTAAATAATAACTAGCCTTTGCTTTGGTCATGCAGCAATTAAAAGAAGCCTCTGCTCTATTTGGCATAATTTTGTCCGATACCACTTTCTCAATAATCAAAATTTCGTCAAATTGATAATCCGGTACCTTAGATATATCTACGTCTTGATTTCAAATAGTTATATTATATGACTGTGAGGGTGTCTCTGTTGTTGTGAAACTTAATTGTCCCCCCAAAAGAACATTGAAAGAAAAATTTTATTGGTTAAAGGTACGGTGTTCGGAAACCCTTAAATCCAAGAACCTGGTGACTATCTTCTGATTTCTATTTAGTAAATTCCCTGCAGAGTTAAAAAGATAATGTTTATATAACAATCGATGTCGTGGGAGATATCTTCACGAATTTTGCATGCCAGTAAATCATTTATCTCAACGCTAAGAGGAGAAGTGCATATTTTTTTGAAAAAATACACGATTGATAAAAACGTCTACCATTCATTTTGTCATCACACATACTGAGACACATGCTTCTCTTTGTTTCTTATGTTTCACACAACTAGTTATTTGTTCTAAAGCAAAAGGCCATTAAAGAACATAAAATAAATGTCAATTGGACAAACGAAAGATAATATACCACCACCCATAAATCCAGTCTATGGAAGTAAAAAACAGCTGATTTTTACGAAATTATTCAATGATATGTTTAGTAATTCAAAAACAAAAGTAAAGGATGATGAAGGTGGAAGGTATACTTTTGCACCTTTATTGCCAGTTTATCATTCTGGCATTGCAAAATTGTTGTGAGAGCAATGTTAAAAACACGCTTTTAAACACCTTTGGGGCTTCTTCACTTGGTGGCACTATCCATAAAAGATTAACTGCTTTCCTAGAGAGATTTATGATTTATATTATTTAGAATAAAATCGACAAATTTTTAAGATGAGGGGTGCGCGATAGACTTATCTCTACGTGGTGCACCCTGGACAACATATTTTCTTACGGAAAAAAAGTCTATCACTCGACATTCGTTTTTGAATTCGATTTATTATGATTAGCTTTAAAAAAGGCTATAAGAAAAATCGCCCTCGTCAGGGCGAATCACAACGTCTTCAGATCCTCCAGTGGAATGCTGGAGGAATGTCTCCGGACAAAAAGATCCAAATACAGAAAATCCTACAAACCTATGATGTAGACATTTTCACAATTATGGAAGCTAACATTTCGGATGATAAACTGAAGTATTACCAATTCCCAGGTTACACCCTGTACAATCTACCTAAATACCGGCAAGTTGCAAGTGGAATTCTAACTGGAGTGAAAGATGGCCTCACCTCACACTTAATGCTGCGATAAAACAGCTGAAGCGCAAGAAGTCTCCTGGCGAAGACGGTATTCATCCAGAATTTCTAATTAGAATGGGATCAAAAGCCAAAGAAACCATGCTGACGCTTTTAAACAAAATCCGGGAGACCAGTTTCGTACCTAACCAATGAAAAGTTGCCATAGTAATAATAGTACTAAAAAAGGGCAAAGACCCTAACAACTTTGACAACTATAGGCCTATCTCTCTTACAGGCGTGCTGGCTAAACTTATGAAAAGAATGGTTAACAGGAGGCTGGCCTGGTTCCTTGAGACTAACAATATTCTTAAGAGTGAACAAGCAGGTTTTAGGCCACAAAGATCAACAGGCCTTTCACAGGGGGCTGTCACAAGCTGCACTCTTTTCAATGTCTTCATCAATGACGTAGCCGAATTGGTACAGACAGTCACGGGCGTTAAGTGCTTACTTTAAGCAGATGATCTGGTACTATGGTATTCCGCCCCTAAGAAAAACGCTCAGGAGAGGACAGAAAGTGCCCCAAATAGTGCACTTAAACTACTAGCTAACTGGTGTGACAACAATGGAATGGTAATTAACACTGCAAAAACTGCATTTCAAACATTTTCTTTGGCCCATCACAGCATAAGCCCGCTTCTAAGGTACAAGGATACTACCATAGAAAAAACCAATGAGTTCACATATCTCGGAATGAATTTTGACACAAAGCTAACGTGGAAAAGTCACCTTGCTAAAATAGCAGAACGCGTCTCCAATAGACTGAATGTCCTGAAGCGTCTTGCTGGTAGCGTATGGGGCTGTGCGCGCTCAACTCTAAACACCACTTACAAGATGTTTATCCAGCCAATAATGTTGTATTGCTGTGAGCCACTCATTACAGCCACTGAGGTCACTCTCAAACCCCTCGAGAAGGCACACAACCAAGCATTACGACTAATTACTGGAGGGATAAAATCAACACCCATTGATGCAATGCTCCTAGTTACAGAAAACACCACAATAGGTTCTCATATCAAAGAAAAGACCTTTATCCTGTATGAGAAACTACTGCGCATCCCCATGGATAAGCTCTTCAGCACCTATGAGAATAAACCAAGACATTTGAAAACGCAATGTGGTCTAATTCAGAAAGCCATAGAACTGAAGAACGCGTTACAAATCGATGACAAATCAAAAAGCCTCTCTCTCCCCATGAACCCATTAGCAGACATTGAAGTAGTGTGTTGCACCCAAATGCTCGATTTCTTCAGGAAATCAAACACTCCTCCAGAGCAAATGCGCTCACTGGCCTTTGAGACAATCAATGTCAAA